TATCAAAGCCTACGGCATCGCCCAAAGCTCATTTTGTTTTACTAGGTAGTGCCATACGCTTGCTCCCCCCGTTTATTCCACAGCTTTCAAATTTTCTGAAGTTAAAAGACGTAAAAAAAGTGCACCCTAGTACCGATAAACAGCGTTTTTGTATTAACTTGTTGGTATCTTCACAGAGAAGTATCCGTGAGGTATCGACAACAGGAACGCAGAGCGTCCGGTACCTCCTGTGGCACAAATCATAAACTGAGTAAATAAAAGTAAATCTACAAAAAAAAAGGTACAGTCTTACAATCACAAAAATCAAGAAAACATTTGCAAAATACATGTACTTCTATCTATCCGAGATATAATCCTCAGGACCTAACCGTATCAAGTGATGATTATCTTGAAGTACTTCGCGTGTTTCATTCTTATAAGTCTAGTAAGAAGCGGAAGCTCGAGCGTTCCGTTTCCACCCGGATGTTACGTGGCGGACGGACCCCAAACAGATATCAACTGCACCAATTCTAACATAACAAGCCTACCGAGCAGTCCACCGCCCATGGTGATATTTGTTTACCTGCAGTACAATCGTATCCAAACAATCGGTGACTTATCTGGCTTCAAGTATGTCATGACGCTAAATCTCAGCCAAAACATCATCACAAACTTCCAGTGGGAATCTCTGAAAAATATGAAATACCTTGTGGTTCTAGATCTCTCTCACAATCAGTTAACGTCTGTTAGGCTTGACTTGGCCATTGATAACATGGCTTCTTTGAATACCGTAGATCTGGCCTACAATAAGCTGGTCACATTCTCGGAGGCAGACCTGGGTATTCCTCGACGGCATGCCGTAACCACCAGAGAGGGCATGAGCAGGAGGGGGCACAGGTACATACACGGGAATCCCATTCTTTGTGACTGCCGCATGTCGTGGCTGACAGAAATGGCCCGTGCTTTTCGCCAATGTTGGCCAATATGCCATCCTGCTGTAACGGAGCGTCTGCTTTATGCTGATTTTGTTAGATACAATAAGCTTCTGAAATGCAGTAGCCCCGAAAGCCTGAAAGGCAAGGCATTTGAACTTGCCCGTCTATCTGCCTGCCCCGTCAAACAAGAAACAACGAACAATAATCATTCAGAACAGAATGACCCCCAGCTTGCTGTTTCTACATTAACGCTGTTTTCGAACCTTCCGCCAGCGAAACAATGCCCACGTTCGTGATCAGGCAGGAAGTAACGCACGTAAACAGTTCTTTGGTCTCACAATGCGCAAACCAATCCACCACAACGTACCAGGTAGCTCATGTATCGAGAACAGTTACTATCAATGCAGTAGCGAGTACCGTATCTGCGATTGTTATTCTTACTCTAGTCCTGTTGATGCTTTGCCGACGGCGGCAGTTGTATACACGATGAAATTCCCTCAAAATTGTCAGAATTCATGAGGATCCAACTTAAGGCAGGATGTGACATGATTACGTCATCTAAGATCTAGTTAAAGGTACACTGTCGACTCGATTTTGTGGATGCCATCCTCTGGGCCCTTCTGAACAGTTTGTCACGCGGTAGTAAACAATATCATTGTTCATTCATTACAAGGAAGGCTGTGTGTCCTTGTTGTGTCAATATGTGATTTGGTATCCAGATGTCTGTTATATAAGTGAATAAACAGTGCAATAACTAGCCAAAGTTGCCAAAGTAAATCAAGATAAGGTCGCCAAGAAAATCAACTGGAGGTCCCTTAACCCCTATTTCAGCAGATAAAGGTTAAAGGTAAAAGGTTAAAGTTTACAGAAAAGGTTTACATGCTTATAATAATTACGTATCATTATCATAATTTATTCATGTAAATTTCCTATGAGTTGATCTTATATAGATGGTAACTTTTATCAAATAACGTTAGGTGTATCTGATGTACTACAAATTTATGTGTCTCAGTTGTGCAATTTGGCTATTTCTATTGCAATGTCGAAATTTTGTATGTATTTCTGTTGTTGTGTAATAAAGCGTGAGTAAAAGTTCTGCATTGAAAAGTCATTGGCGCCTATTTAATTTTGTTGTCTCCTCTTGAAACAATAGTTGCTAGTACGGTATGTCTTGCTGATATTACTAGCCTGATAGGGATGTCTGCATTTAGTGTACATGTATATGGCTTCCTAACTTGGGAAACCTGTCCTTGGTGCTGAACTAAATCTACACACAGACAAACACACTTGTCCTTGGTGCTGAACACCTTCAACACAAAGGTAAACACACGTCCTTGGTGCTGAACATTTTCATAAAACGGCAAACAATCCTGTCCTTGGTGCTGAGAACGATCCAAATACAGGTTAACACTTATCCTTGGTGCTGAACACCTTTCTCACAAGTAAACACACCTGTCCTTGGTGCTGAACACCTTTCTCACAAGTAAACACACCTGTCCTTGGTGCTGAACACATTCCACACACACACAGCTGTCCTTGGTGCTGAGCACCTTCAACACAAAGGCAAACAGGCTACGATACAAATATTTTGACGGCAAATGCAGGTTTATTCGAACTAAATTAATAATGACAAAACTATCTTAACTTAGCCATACTTAATCTACTTTATTAATGTTCTGTTTTTCTATGCGAACACGTGGCTATAATGCTGTTATAGTTTTAGGAAATTGTTAATACGTTTTAGGAAGTTGCTAGTATTGATGTTCAAATACTAATACGTCGAACAAATCAAAAGAAAAAAATCAGACCTTACAATGGGTATGTGATGACGTCTTACTTGGTACTAATTTCCTTCAAGTAATAAGGTCCGGAAATTAACAAGATGGCAGATTGTACGTTATGTGTCAATACGTAGATGCACGGTTTGACTGCGTATTAGTAAAGGTCAAATGTGAAGGCCTCAGACTTATAGAGAGTTCTCGTTTAGTCCATGCTTGATACATATCCACATGTTAAACGTTAACTTTATTCCAACTACACTATTTACAGGGATCAAATTTTCAGCGACCACTGTCGCCTTCATCAGGATAATTAATGACCAATCACTTCAAAACGTGATCTCGCGAGAGTTACGGTTTACAAACATGTGACCTTATTCACACGAGACTTTACTGATACGTGACGTAAGCAATTGAT